ACGATGCTCCCTCTCGCCTTGACGCGCCTCTAAACGTAGGGGGGCGGGGAGGAACCGCGGGAGAGCTCGGAAGTGGGAGAGCTCGGCCTCAGGCCCTTGCTCAGCCGGAGCGTACCGCTCCGACAAACGTCGAAGATGGCCGCCGCCCGCGCTCTCCTGGCTTGCCTCGCCGTGGTCGCCGCCTCGGGCCAACTCTGCGAGCGGAACTCGCAATGCGAAATGGCCGGCGGCGAGTGGTGCGGGAGTCATGAGAGCTGTGGCGACGAGGACTGCTGCATCAGCTCGGTTCCGTGCGACGTGACGACGAGCAGCGCCCACTCGTGCCTCACGTGCTCCCTGGAATTCGATGTTACGTTCGTTATTACGGAGGACTGTGTCTGCTTGAACGCGGAGCTCTCGGTCGCTGAGTGCTCCGACGCCTTCGCTCGCGGAACGCCGCGGGAGGTCGCGGACGACGACGACGACGACGACGACGACGAGGAGGTTTTAGGCTCGGAATGGACGTGGACCGCGGGGCTCATGTCCTGCTACGGCGCCGCGCTCGCCGTCGCGGCGCACGCCGCGCGCCTGCGATGGGCCGCGGCGGACGCGGCGGCGGCCGGCGCGAAACGCGCGGCGGCCGCGGGCGGGCAGCGCCGCGTCGATACGACGACGACGACGGGCGTGCGGGCGCTCCTCATGCTCGTCATCGCCGTGGGGCACATGAACTACTTCGGAGGCGACGGCCGCGTCGCGGGCCACATGGGCTTCCGCGGCGAGCTCGGCGGCGGCGCCGCGGTCGAGGGCTTCTTCCTCGTGAGCGGCTTCGTCATGGCCCTCGCCTACTCGCGGCAGGACTTCGTGGGCTCGGGCCCCGGCGACGTCGTCGCGCTCGCGCGGCGGCGCAACTTCTACGCGAAGCGCTTCGCGCGGCTCGCGCCGCTCTACTACCTCTCCGAGCTCCTCATGTGCCTCCTGCGGATGGACCCGTGGGGCCTGGCGCTCCTCCCCTTCAGCCTCACCGGCATCACGTCGTGGTATCCGCTAATCTATCCCAACAACGGCGTGCTCTGGTCCGTGTCGACGATCGCGTTCTTCTACTACCGGCTCCCGTGGCTCTTCGGCCGCCTCGAGCGCGCCTGGACGCGCGCGCACCTGCCGTGGCTCGCGGCCCTCATGGCGGTCAAGTGGGTTATCGTCGTGGGCGTCGATCCATTCTTCTACATGCCGCTCCGCGTCTGGCCGCCGTTCGTCGTGCCCGTGTTCATGATCGGCGCGATCGTCGGCCGGAGCCGCCTCGAGGACGCGCTGGCCGGGGGCG